TCTGATGTTGTTTACTTTTTTTTTCTTCTTTTTGTTAAAGTAAAGGAGTATATTGTTTTATCCTACTATTATACCTTGCACTAGTCTTCTGTACTAGGCCTGACTGTGTTTAGTGATACCGCTTCATTCACTGGACACATCCATTGATTCATTTATACTTTTGTTTACCAGATCAGGAAAACTGAAAAGACTTAGTATTGCTTGTTGCTATGGTATGTTATGTGACGGGTCGGTTGAAGCAGTTCAAAAGCTCCCATTGTTAGAGGAGCTTAGTCTGACGCACACTGATATCACCACAGAGGGAATTGAAGCTCTTGGACGCTCTTGCCCACGGTTGACGTCCTTTAAATTGAATAACTCATGTTATATGGGATCAGGTGATGACTTTGGTGAAGGAGATTTTAGAAACGAAGAGGCTCTAGCTATTGCTAAGAACTTGCCTGCCTTACAGAACCTTCAGCTCATTGGGAATACTATGACAAATGAAGGCCTCCTAGCTATTCTTGATGGCTGTCCTCATCCTGTATCACTTGACCTGCGGCTGTGCAAAAATGTTAGCCTCAATGAAGTCTTGAGTAGTAGAATTTCTGGACAAATTAAAGATGTGAAGCACCCTGGTGACTCTCTGAAAGGTTTTGAATTTTCATTTGATACTTGTGGGGATGAAGATGAGATGTCGGATGACATGTCAGATTATTAATTTGATTTTTGAAAAGATCTACTGACTACTAGAAGTCGTGTTTCTAGCATTAGCCCCATTTTTGAAGTTGCGGGCTTTTTTTGGTCATTGGATTATGAACACCAGTACTTCTTTCACATATTCGGAAGAGGAAACCAAGTTCTTAACCTGGTGGCTAAATATGGCATTGATAACATAGGGAATATTTTGTATTGCGCATATCGCCATTGGGACTAAGTTCCTAAGGAAATCAGTATGTAATGATTAAGTAGTGTTTTTATATAAATGTATTTGGTTGAATACATAGGCGGCCTCTCAAACATGACCAACTATTCCATTTAAACACTTGACTAAGGATTATACCTATCAACACTTGAACTAGAGGCAAACTGTGCCTATTAGATTCCTAAGGGGTAGTTTGGTACGAGGGATAAGATTTGAGATTAAATTTTTTTCGTGTTTGGTATAAGTTAAATTTCAGACTTAATCCAGAATATTCCATCTTATCCTATTAAACTTGGAATTATTTTATCCTACATCCCATGTGGAAAATTTAGTCCAGGAATTACAATCCAAGGATTATAATCCCACGACAATTTAGACTACGTACCAGACCCCTAAATGACAATCTCCTGTAAAGATGTGGTGCATGACTTTCAAACACACGACATGGCAAAAAAGATGAATTAATGAATGACACGTGGAGAATATATCAAAAAAATTTCTTGTCAACCAACTTTTTCCTCTCCCATTGCAAGTCATCTTATCAGTACCGTGATTTGAGTTCCCAAAATTATAACCAAGTCATCTCAAATTTTTTTCCTGATATCAAACCTGAGTTCTTAAGAAAATTGAGTTATCAAAAGTTCTCAAGATCAACTCTCAATGTGTTTGCCTATTATTCAATTTTTCACTGCTATATTCGTTTGATAATTTTGCTCTTGAAACTTCATCCACCTTTTAACAAATTTTATTAAAAGTTATTAAAGAAGTAGAGTTTACTACTTGACTTAAACAGATTGGTCGATTCTCACTTCTAAAACTCCAAAATGGCCTCTAGCAG